CGACGTAAAGGCCGACACAAGCATGCTCTCGCTTAAGGCGCATGCTTCACTCAAACTCGGGCCACCAGCTCTAACAGCGCTGGACGGGAGCCCTGCCCAGCTGTCAACTTGCTCAAACCTTTTCTCTAACAAGTACAGACATAATACACTTCCTTCACAACTAGCGGGCAACTTCTCTCCTTTCTACTCAGGACCGGGAATGAAGGGCGTAGTGCCTAGCGTCCTCCAATGAACAGACACATTAAAAATTGCTGTAAAGAAAAAAGCTTCTTGAAATTAAACATCTCCAATTTGGCCCTAAAACTGTGAAGCTACACTGTATAAGAAAGCAGAGAGGGTGTCTTTTTAGACAGAACTTTTTATTTATCTTTATTATCAGCTTGAATGCACGGACACATTATATTCCTAGAGCATTTGTACAAATTTAATACCTTTGACTCAGTTATGAAAACCTTCGCAAAAACCTTAGTTATATGTTCCTATTGGACATCTGGTTACTATTTTTTTGAAACTGAGTGCAAAATACTGATTGGGATAACCAACGAAATTTTATGCAAAGTTATTTTCTCAAATACGCGTTACCGACCAATGAAAGTGAGCCAACATATTCGAAGGGCTGGCTGATTCAAGTAAACATTTTAACATGTTGTAACAATGAATAGGGATAGAGTATTTTTTCCGGAAATTGAATAACACGGTAGCATAGAATAGCAAGTGGCAAACCAATCGGTTTGCTTAAATGGCAATTGAATATTGACAGAACACGATACAACCAAAATGTTCTAAATGAACTTCCTATGATAATAGTGGAAAAACCGTTTGGGTCGTTCAGACATTTATACATCTATAGCGTGTCTAAAAAAATAATGTACAATTTAACAGCTGATAATCAACTTCAAGTTATTTCTTTTGTGATGTAATTCACTACGGTGAATAATGGCAGCCTGCCTTATTTTTGAACATGGGGTTTTATTTGTAGCAAAGTGGAGCACCCCACACAACTATCCAGGAAAGAGGCAAACTACTTAAGTGACTGTATGTTAGGAGTACCAAATTCGCAGGCATTCGGAAGGCCCTGTGTTCCAAAGATACAAGTCCTGACATCTATGGAATTCATTGGAACTATATTACACCTTAATTCGTATTGAACCCTCACTGAAGGAATCCGTCCTACCCAAGCCCAATGCCTCGTGATTTAGATCACCTTCTGTAGGCTATAAAATGATAGGTTCACGGGAAGAAAATGAATAACAAAGACAAGTAATACTTCACCTCTGCAGTGTTGGGGATATTGAATCCGAGGGAAACCAGACAGGCCTTGAACTCCGAAGCTTCGAGGCGCCGAAGACGGCGTTTGTCGAAGTGATTGAAGCATCGACGGAAGTCACTCAACTGGGCCTCACTCACACCTCGTGCATCTCGCACCATCATCTGTACCTCCACTTCATTGATGGCTCGCTTCACATTGGTTATTAGCTGCTCCCAGCCCATGCGCAGGGTGTCAGCTGTGTAGGGGGTGTAGGGCACCGTGTAGACATCATTAGCTTGCAGCTCCTACGGAGAAAAAAATGAACAGATTAATAATAGGCTGTATGGTGAAGGGTCATGCTTCCGAATACTAGCACAAGACATCAGCATTGTGCTATAGAGCCTGAAGATGCTGGAACGAATTCAGCATTTCGAATGCGCAGAGGAGAAAAAATAGGCTCACAGTTTTTTCACAATTTGCCAACTATTTACATGTATTTATTATTTATTTCTTTTACAGATGCTGGGCTCAATGGTAAAAAAAATTAGCTAGACAGCAAAAAGTGGATGTTAGAGCAGCATTGGAAGTGTGAACATGCCGAGCAGGTGAAAAACATCACGGTAAAAAGTACTTAAAACTCCTCCATCTTCACATTGGGAAATGAACCAAACAGAAATAACTTTGAAAGTACCGATTTGATAATTAAGTCACCGAACGCAGATCCTCTTAAAATTTTACTGATGGGAAAAAAGGGATAAGAATGGCTTTACCATTCATGAATAGTCCAAAAAAGCCCACAAGACGTGCTTCGAAGGAAACATCCATATCAAGGACGTCCTCCCTGTTGTACTGTTGCCAAAAGTCAAAACTTTTGTCGTCCCAGAGGGTTTGTTTCAATCCCCCAAGGAGAACAAGGAGACAAGAGTGCACAGTATAGCAAAGTATAATTAAGCAAGCAAGCAAGCATTACAAGTTCAGACAAATCAGATTGCGTCCTCGAGCGAGTAGCGACTCGATTGACTTTCTGATTAATCTGGGTGCCCTGCTAGAGCCTTAAGCCTAGCCGCAGATGTGTGCTGCATCACAACATGCTTTTTGTGTGGATGGACCAATAGCGTGGCGTGAGAGGGTCTCGCCAGGGCTGAGTGCGAGCACGTCGGTTAGGACGGCTCCTAACAATTGCGACGCCTAAGGCGTAAGTTGATTTCCAAACCACACTGCCCACAATTGGTGCGTGATCTTTTGGAGGAAGACATAGGTGGCTAACTGAAATTCTGTGAACTACCGCATATTAAATTGCTTTTTTTAACCACACAAATTGCATATCTACTAAATATAAGCCTACTTTTGATATAATTATCCTCTTTGGCGCATCTGGGCCAACAGTTTACCTTTCAGTGTGCACATTATACTGAATGAGAACCAGAAACATGGAAGGTTACTAAAAGCTACTGACAGGCTGAACATGGATCTTTCCAGTTAGTGGAAAAACTCAACCAGCCTTTCGACCGAGGGTCAGTCCGCAATGACTTCTTCCTACTGTGGCCTTTAGGACAACCCCAGCATATTGAAGTCTCGAATTGAGGCGAAGGTTTGCATTCCGAGGGGACATATTAGCAGAGAAAAAGAAACCTATTCGGTACCGGAATAATTTCTTTTATTTAGCTCAGGTTTTGAACTCATGCTGGAGTCCATCATCAGGATCAAAGCTAGCAACAGCTTGCGAATGGATTACCTGGAGCTGGGGCCTCCGATGAAAACTCAGTCCATCAATATATCGATCTGGTACCGGCATACAGGGCCCCGCGCAGTCACCTCCGGACCGGCAGTATGGATGTTTAATTTGCCTCTACGCTCTGTTAATGTAGCTTGTTTTGGTGCCATTTTTACCTCCGACGATGGACTTCAGTAAGAGTTTGGAAGCTCAGACAAATAAAACGATAATTCCGGCAACCGAACAGACTTCCTTCCTAATCATAAGCCAATGCGCCACTTCCATTTTGAGTCGCCATGACAACGCCGTGAGTGTGGGAAGAAAAACAGCCAGATAGACACCATCAAAGTCCCCTTCACCTAGACCAGTCATGTGCTGTCTCCCCAATGACTGGAGTTACTTCTCGGTGTTAGATGATTGCAGACAAATTTACGGGCTTTACTTCTAAATAATCATGTTGCTCTATAAAAAAAGGGATTTATTTTATGCAATAGGGCAAACAGATTAGTCTGTTCATCAGATGATCGGAGCCTAGATAAGCATATGTGCATAAAATAGAATCGTTGACTTCCACCTTGTCCTGTAGAAACGAAATTTTGACACCAAAAACACAGAAAACCCTTTTTGTTATTAACCGGACAGTTGAGATTCGTAGAGAGGTTGAATTTCGTTTGTTATTCAGCCGTCTTCGTTGACTACCAGCTGGATGTCAGGGAGGCTAGCCAAGTAGTGGACCTGCCAGATGAGACCCAATACGGTCAAGTATTTAGCACATAGAATAGCGACTATAGAGATCCTGCAATCGGTCTATTCCAGAATTCACTTGTATAGACGGTGGGGTTGCATGTTGACTGGAGTCAACGTATCGTATTTAATCGATGATGTCGCATCGTTTATTTGCATTTTCCCCTTTAATACTCGTTCGCTAGCTTACACCAACTGTATGAACCTGACAAAGTGACATTACCTTTGCCCAACTGCCTACTCAGCCTTAAGTTCACTGCATTGTGGTAATACTTCAGTGTAAATTTATTGAAAACGGACTGTGCATGTCAATTAATTTCCTGCTTCCTTCCTCCTTTGAGTTTGCGTGATCCTACTTCTACTGCCAATGGTATTCTTCCTCCATCACACATAGTCGAGATGACCAATCTCCTAACAACATGCCGATGCACTCGTAGTCGAGATCTTCCCTTCTACCAACGGGCACTGACGGCAATAACACGACTCACGCATGCCAGCCACAGTCGCTCATGCAAGTCACAAACGCCCCTGCAACCTGGTTCATTCATGCTAGCCACAGCCACCCACGCTGTTTGCAACTCTACCTTGGTACGTACCCCCTTTACTACATTTAACTGTTCTTCCTTTGTTCGATTTCTTAAACGAACTACGGTCTAGGAGGGGAGCACTTGTAAAGACTAGCTCCACACGAATTGCACTTGTGAACGCCCGTCGTGAATAGCTCAAGTCGAAGTGCACTTTAGGAGAGCTTGCTGCGTCCGGCCTCTGTAACAGCCAATCACAGGCCGACTCACATACGGCCTGATGTGACGACTGCCGAGCAGACGTGACTTCAGACGCCGTCCGTTGGCTTGTGGTTGTGCAGTCGTC